TTTTTTTCTTTCTTTTTTTTTTTTTTGTTTTTTCTTTTTAAATTTTAATAATCCTTATATTTTATTGAACAGTTGTTCAGTGTACCAAATAATGAACTGCATGCTATAGATTCTGCTCAAACAGTATAGAGATATAGTCCTCCCATTCCACCCTCCTGCTTTCCCACCCCTTTTTGGCAGGCTGAAAACAGCCACTGTTTATTAACTGGTCAGATTAGAAAAATAATCATGGTGAATACCTTAGTTCATCCTTCTAAGTCTGTTGATCTGGTCTTCCCTGTTGCAAGCATCTCCACCTTCTATAAAATGGGTGGTCTTTTTCTTCATTCCACCACATGGAGGAGATAATTTGAAGAGCCACAGGAAATTATTTGCCTTTTTCAAGTGTTTTTCAACAGTATAGATCTCATGAATCAGATTCTCCATGCAGATGCTGTCAAATTTACCAAGAGATTGAGCAATCAAAGAGTTATCTGTCAAAGCAACTCGCTTCTTTGATTTTGCCATAACCATGCTTATAGTTCATTTACTGACTTCATGTTCAGAAATCTTCATGCAATATGTGGTTACACAATCCTCAGCATTTTACTTAAAGCCTTGTTGAACGTAATGAAGGTACCTTTGTCGTTGAAGATATGGCAAAGGCAAAGAAGCTGCAACACCTTTCAGACTTTTGGGCTCATTCCATTGATATCTCTGATCCTGATGACAAATGCCAGTTTGGATTCTGCAGGTACATAGAAGTTGCCAGCTTTTGCCATCCTGGCCATGTGAATCTCATTTCTGTATGTCTGCCTATGTTCCTTATAATAGTGCTTAGTTTTTTCATAGATAATAAGTTTCCTCCTTGTCTTTTTTAAAAAGAGAATTGTTTTATTTATTTATTTTTAATTTGACCAGAGAGAGACACAGAGAGCGAGGGAAAGTGAGAAAGCAAGCTGCCAGGTCCAAGACTTGAACCATGGCCAGCCATGTTCCAACTACCATGTGGAAGTCCAGTGTCCCAACTACCACATCACCTGCCGACCCCCCTCCTTGCCTTTTGAAGCATCTTTGGAGCAAACTTCTTTCTCAAGTGCTTGATCTACAGCTCTGCACAATTCCTTTACTTTCTCTTAAGGGTCTCTGGCACAGCAGAAACCTTTTTCTTGACGGTTTCCACTGCAGCCAGAACCTTCTTTTTCTTCTCTTCAACCTCCTCCATGGTTCCAGCTGGAAAAGAGAACTGCCCCTTTTTAAACCTGAGGGTGGGTATGCTTGCTGGAGACAGAGGAACAGAGAAAGAGAAAGGGAAGGAGAGAGAGAAAGCACCCTTAGTGGGGCATAGTCATACTGCAGTACCTTTTCCATTTCTACATCCTATTGTGACTTGGGTCATACATGCACACGCGCCTGATTTATTTTTTTTTGGAGAGGTTTTTGCTATAGGGCACATGCACTGGCCGGAAAGACAGAGACAGAAGGTGAGAAATCATCCCCCAGGGGGATGGTCACGCCGCGGTGCCTTCTCCATTCTCCTCTTGGGATCTTGGGCACACACGCACATGCGCCCAACATGATTTTAAGCCATCGAGTTTGAGACTTGAACCGTGGTCAACTACATGGGAGTCCAGCGACATAGCCATTATGCCAACTGCTGGTCCCACCTGGTATGTTTTTTAAGTCATCAGAGCTGGAATTCAGACTTGCAGTTGGCCATGTGGGATCTGGCTCCCTTAACAACCATGACCTGGTCTTGACTGTTTCTCTTTTTCTTTTCTTTTTCTTTTCTTTCTTTCTTTCTTTCTTTCTTTCTTTTTTTTTTTTTTTTTTTTGGGTTCGTTTTTTTCCCCTATAGGGCTCGTGCATTCGCCAGAAAGAGACAGAAAGTGAGAAATCTCCCCTCCAGGGGGATGGCTACCCTGCAGTCCCTTCCCCTTCATTCTCCTCTTTGGGATCTTGGTCATGCACGCACATGTGCCCGGCATGAGTTCAAGCCACCAGGTCCGGGACTCAAACCACAGTCGACTATATGGGTGTCCAATGATATGGTCATTATGCCACCTGCTAGTCCCTTGACTATTTCTTTTAAAAATAATTTAAATAAATTATTTGTTTAATTTTATCTATTCTATTTTTTCATTTGTCTAGAGAGAGACAGGGAAAGTAAGAAAGCAAGCTGCCAGGTCTGGGACTCATACCACAGTTGCCCATGTGAGAGTCCAGCATCCCAACTGCTATGCCACCTGCCTGCCCCAAAACTTAATTTTTTTTTTTTGAGAGGTTTTTCGCTATAGGGCGCGTGCGCTCTCCAGACAGACAGAGAGACAGAGAGACAGAAAGCGAGAAATCACCCCCCAGAGGGGATGGTCACGCCGCAATCCCTTCTCCTCCATTCTCCTCTCGGGATCTTGGGCACGCACACATGCGCGGCCAGCATGAGTTTTAAGCCACCGGGTCCGGGATGCGAACCGCAGTCGACCACGTGGGAATCCAGCGACATAGCCATTACGCTAACTGCTGGTTCCCCAAAACTTAATGTTTTAGAGCAGTTTTAGGTTCACACAAAAACTTAGAGGATGTTACAGAGGTTTCCCCATATACCTCTGCCTCACACATACATAATGTGCCCGTTCTCAACATCCCCTACCAGAATGGTACACTTGTTATAATTGATGAGCCTATATTGGACATATCATTATCACCCAAAATCTGTACTCTGTATTAAGATTTGCTGTTGGTGTATATTTTGTGAGTTTAAACAAATGTATAATGACATGTATCCACCATTTCACTGCCCTAAAATGCTGTGTTCCCTCTGTTCATTCCTCCTTCCCTCTAACCACTGGTAACCATTGACTTGTTTACCAACCAAGAGTTTTGCCTTTCTTAGAATATTATATAGTTAAGGGACTGGCAAGTGGCACGATGGGTAAGGGTGCTGGATTCCCACATGGCCAACCACGGTTCAAGTCTCAGACCTGGTGGCTTGCTTCCTCATTTTCCCTCTTTCACGCTCTCTCTCTCTGTATCTTTCTGATCAAATTTAAAAAAATAATTAAAATTAAATAATTCTTTAAAAAAAAGAATATTATATAGTTAAAATCATTCAGGATATAGCTTTTTTAGATTGACTTTTTTTTTTGGAGAGATTTTCACTGTAGGGCGCGTGCGCTCGCCAGACAGACAGAGAGAGACATAGAGACAGAAAGCGAGAAATCACCCCCCAGCGGGGATGGTCACGCCGCAATCCCTTCTCCTCCATTCTCCTCTCGGGATCTTGGGCACGCACGCACGTGCGCCCGGCATGAGTTTTAAGCCACCGGGTCCGGGACACGAACCGCGGTCAACTATGTGGGAGTCCAGCAACATAGCCATTACGCTAACTGCTGGTTCCCTAGATTGACTTTTTTTTTTAATTTTTTTTAATTTAAGGCTTTTTGCTATAGGATATGTGTGCTTGCTTAAGAGAGAAGCTAAGAGACACACAGAGAGAGACAGTGAAAAATCACTCCCAGGGAGGATGGCCATGCCACAATCCCTTCTCCTCCTGGGATTCTGGGCATGCATGTGTACATAGCTGGCATGATTTTCAAGCCTCTGGGTCTGGGACTCAAACCACTCTCAACCATGTAGGAGTCCATCACCTTAATGATCACATAACTTGACTTCTTTTCTTTAGTAATATGCATTAACATTTCCTCAGTGTCTTTTCATAGTTCAGTATCTCATTTCTTTTTAATGCAGAGTAATATTTCATTGTTTGGATGTAGTACAATTTATCCATTGACCTACTCAAGGACATCTTGATTGCTTCCAAGTTTTGGCTCTTACGAATAAAGCTTCTGTAACCACTTTTATACAGATTTTTTGTGTGGACATAAGCTCCTTTATTTTTTTTTAAATTTATTTTTAATTTTTTAAATAATATTTT